CTTCCCTTTAGCCATGTGTACTTGGCTGAAGTACAAGAAAGACATCAGGAAGTCTCACTTCATTTTGTTGCGTGATTAGATCAATATTTCTGCCTAAAGAGAAAGAGAGATGAAGCGTGACTTTTAAGTAACTTGCTTGGCTGATATGCAGTCCACAAAATGAAATGTAAATACATAAATAATCCAATTGGAGAAATAAAGTAGTATCTTTACACTTTCTTGGAGCTTCTCAACAAGTGCCTTGGGTGTCTATTTGGAAAGCCATTTCTAAGACATTTTGTGTTATCTGTAGATTTCCAAGCCATTAGACTGTCTTGTTTGGGAAGCTGTCCACAATGAGCCTTAACTGCCATTTTAGATCTCTGACTCTTTTTTCAATGGTGTTAAAACTCCCTGAAGCCCTGGGCATGGAAGGCCTGTCCACCTGGGAGTTCCGCAATGGGGACCACCCATCTGTCAGTGCAGACTCAGTTTACATCTCTTTGTTTACATTGCCCGTGTATGCCCTGCTCATCCCTGTTCACGGAACTGGAGGGGTGGGGAAAGTTAAACAAGTGGGCTTGTGCTGCAGCGCGTGCTTGCCCCTCTCAGGAGAAACAGATGGATTAATTTTTTTCTTCTAACTCATTAATGTAATGGATGGCCTGGATATTTTGTTCTGCATAAAGATGTAGGGTTCCATGAAATAATTTTATGTTCACCTTCCAGCATGTCAGAAAATTGTTAGCACACCTTTCAGACCAGCCATGTCTTTTGTTTGGCCTCGACCTCTTTTTAGTCCTGAGACCATTTTATTCCTCCTTCGTGCCTTTACTGAAGAGACAGGAGGGAGAGCACTCAAGATACAATGGTGTTTTTTTCCTGGTTCATAACTTTCAAATGTCATTTCTGGAGCTGTAGGGATAAAAAGGAGGTATTGGAATAATTTGTGGATTTAATTTTTTCCCCCTGGACTTTACATGTTAACTGGTCTATTTAAATCTCCTTTACGGTAGTCTCAGCTCTAGTAGTTCTGCTTTTGTGGGGTTTTTAAAATAATAATTTAACAAGTCATTTAGGACCTTCCCCATGTTGTGATTAAATGAATAATATTTTTTCTCACGTTACAGGAGAAATTTATCTGTTTTGCAAAGGAGCGGATTCTTCGATATTTCCCAGAGTAATCGAAGGCAAAGTTGACCCAATACGGTCCAGAGTGGAGCGCAATGCGGTGGTAAGACGACGGGCGGAGGGTGTGTGGATTCTGCAGGAGTCAGCTTCTCCAATAGTGTGAAGGAGCTTTCATCCTACAAAAGCCACTAGCTTAAGAGGATCACATTATGTCCCCTAGGAAATAAATTTGGAAATCAGAATGGGTCATATACTCAAAAAAGGGATGTGGGGTAATTTGCCTATTGATTGGTACACCAGTGGTGCTCGTAATATCTGGGTGGTGCCTTTCAGCAAAATTTTCATACCACACACTATGTATATAAGTTATTTTGAAGTTGGTAGGGAGGTTAGCTGGTGAATGTTTTTGGTGGGTCAGAATCATAAGCACATGTGTGGTATTGGAGCAATTAGATCTTCATGTTGTTGGGTCCAAATCAGTTTTCCACTGTAATTCCATCTATTTGTATTTTCATCCGCCATCTTATCTGTATGCATGTTGTTGAGTCCATTGTATAATTTACATGGTTCAGTCTAGCACCATATCTGAGCTCGGTGCCTCCATAGCTCTGGCTTGCTTTCTTTGTGAGCTGGGTGGGGGTGAGGTATACCAGGTATCCCTAAATAACACCGGGACGCCATCCTCCTCTCTTTCAAATTGCTGTATATACTCGAATATAAGCTGACCCGAATATCAGCTGAGGCACCTAACTTTACCACAAAAACGGCATTAAAAATGTGCTGGGAAACTCCGCTCATACACGAGTATACACGGTAGACTCCCTAGAGCCCAGGTGACGTGCACTTCTTACCAGAAGAAACCTTTCAGTTGCCCTCCTCGTTATTTCCTCCCCATGCTTGATGAGTTCTGCATATCCATATCCTTTTTACTCTCATCTTGTGACCATAATCAATATTGTCTTTTTCCAGTTTTCTCCGCCACTCCTAGCCCGTGGTAGCCACTCACCCATTTCATTATATGTCATGACTACATTTCATGATGTAATTCATTATACCTGTCTGCATT